CATGGCACCTCCCCTTGAATATTGTGCGTTATGGCATCCATCACCAGGGAAAATAGGAAAGGGTTGAGCGCCGACCCTTGGTGCAACCCTATAACAACCGGAAAATGCTCGGAGTCGCCTCCTACTATTCTAACCCGAGTCTTAGATCCATCATACATGTCTTTAATCACCCTAATGTATGCAACCGGGACCCCTTTAGCCTCTAAGCAGCTCCATAAGACCTTCCTAGGTACCCTGTCGTACGCTTTCTCTAGATCGATAAACACCATGTGAAGATCCTTCTTCTTATCCCTGTATTGTTCCACCATCCTCCTAATAAGGTGGATAGCTTCTNTTCGCACTCTCATTTCAACCACTCTCTCCCAGACTTTCATGGTATGACTCAGTAATTTGATACCCCTATAGTTGTTACAGCTCTGGATATCACCTTTGTTCTTATACAACGGAACCATTGTACTCCACCTCCACTCTTCAGGCATCTTATTAGTCTTGAATATATCATTAAACAACCCAGTAAGCTATTCCAAGCCTGCTCTACCCACACTTCTCCAAAGTTCAACCGGAATTTCGTCTGGCCTGGTAGCTCTGCCCCTCCCCATCTTATGCATTGCCTCCATGAACTCATCGACCTCAATGTCCCTACAATAACTTAATTCATGGGGGTTGTCTGCATTCCTCAATTCACCTAGTGTAATATCCTGATCCCCTTCTTCATTTAGAAGTCTATGAAAGTAGGACTGCCATCTCCTTTTAATATGATCCTCCCCCGTCAAAACTTTGTCGTCATCATCTTTTATGCACCTCACTTGGTCCAGATCCCGAGCCGCCCTCTCTCTCACCTTAGCGAGTCGGAATAACTTCTTCTCCCCGCCTTTGTTCCCTAGTTCCTCATATAGATGAGCAAAAGCTACTGCCTTAGCCTCCGTTACTGCCATCTTTGCCTCCTTCCTAGCAACCATATATCTCTCTCTGTTCGTTGTCTTCTCCTTCTCGCCAGTGCTCCCTACTAGTCGCAGGTAAGCCGCCTTCTTCGCTTCCACTTTACCTTGGACACCGGCATTCCACCACCAGTCTCCTTTGTGGCCACCGGTGCGTCCAGAAGATATACCTAACACCTCTGTCGTCGCCTTCCTTATGTTGTCTGCCGTCGTCGACCACATAGTGTTTGCGTCCCCACTACTTCTCCAAACTCCCATTGTCGATAACCTTCCTACCAACTCTTGAGATTTATCCTCAGTCAAGGTGCCTCACCTAATCCTCGGGCGGCCTCGTACTGACCTCTTCTTCCTCTTTATCATAATACCAATGTCCATCACCAAAAGCCTATGTTACGTTGCAAGGGTCTCACCGGGGATAACTTTGCAATCCTCGCACCACCTTTTGTCGCATCTCCGGAGGAGGAGATAGTCAATCTGAGTCTTCGCCGCCGAACTTTGGTAAGTAACCAAATGCTTCTCCCGGTTCGGAAAACTTGAGTTTGCAATTACTAGATCGAATGCCTTGGCAAAGTCCAGCAGCGAAGTGCCCCCTCCGTTTCGTTCCCCCAAACCAAAGCCGCCATGCACCTCAGTATAACCACTTGCGGACGACCCAATATGACCATCGAAATCTCCTCCTATGAATAACCTCTCAGAAGGTGGAATGCTACGAACGATGTCATCCAACCCCTCCCAAAAAGCGCCTTTTAATCTCCTCATCCAAGCCAACTTGCAGCGCGTACGCGCTAACGACATTTAAAGTACACTCACCCGCCACCACTTTAATAGTCATTAGTCTATCATTCACCCTCCTGACCTCAACCACCGACTCTCTAAGATGGCTATCAACCAGGATACCCACTCCATTCTTACCCCTGTGGACTACAGAGTACCACAACTTATACCAATCCGCGTTTCTCGCCCTCGATCCAACCCACCTAGTCTCCTAGACACACGCTATATTAATCTTCCTCTTCTGGAGGATCTTTGCCAACTCTATGGACTTACTCGTCAGCGAACCTATGTTCCATGACCCGGTTCTCAACCTATAGGCTCCCTTGCCCCTTCTACCTCCCCTGCCTCCCGTCCCACACCCTGACCCTGGCCCCACACTCTTCCCAACACGAGGACATGCCCTTAATCTACCATCCCAGACTACAGCCACTTACCCCTACTGCCAATCTAAAGAGGGCCCACTAGTGCCCAACGGCCAACGAATCAAACTAGAAGGAAATAAGTCACTACAAGTACACTTGTAGAATGATTGAACTATTGTGAACTAAAGGGACAACAATTTAGCTAAACACCAAAAGGGAAACCGTAGAACGGGAGGTACCAACTCCCGAGAACCAAACCTGTGTTGACTGGCTTTACTTGGTGTAGTTATACGCTCACGCACCGCTTCCCACCGCCCTTTGATGACGCTCGCTCAGATTGCTCTCCTTTGCTAGTACTTGTGCGCCCAACTTGTCTTCGACAAGTTCGCGAACTTCCCTGAACACAAAATATACCACGACCCAAAAAGCATGAGGGTTGTCACCGCTACCACTGGTGTAGCCCTGACAGTAGTAGTGGAATTATAGGGAAAAAGCAGAGAACTATACAAAATTCACTAAGTTCTATCGTGGTACAACAAACTGAACAATTGCAAGGTAGAAATCTTACAATTTTTTAAGAGGAAACCCGTTGTCGAAAAGGATCAAACTCGAAAGGTCGTCGGAGCTCCGATACGGAATCTTTGCAGTTTTTTTTTGGGGGGGG